CCTCATTCACGCGCTGTACACTAATTCAGAAAGTACCCTTTACCTGAATTCTCGTGAAATTCAACTCTTTCAAGTCACGCGTGGGGTCTGTCAAGCGTGTCCACCTTTCCCCAGTTTTGTTCATACTTACATTAGAACCCTTCTTAAGGGCCGTTGAACGTGACCCGCAGATTAGAGGCTTACCCCCACCTGGTAATACTCAAGTAAACGTCACTACATATGACGATGATATTACTCTATATGTTCATAATGAACAGTCGCAGCAGCATGCTCCTGATACTTTTCATCATTTCAGCATTATCTCCGATGCAAGGTTAAACTTTTTTAAAAGGCAGTATTCCTTTATTGGCAACTCCAATGATCGTATCAGCATCCCGACTCTTTTACAGTGGTCTCCTAATATTACGATAATGGGCGTCACTTTCACTGGACTTGGTGTACATGACAGCATCTTGTTATAGGTTGTATGAACTCTGGAACGTGACGTAAAGGAAGCCAGACACTCCGACTTCCTTAGCTCAAATGTATTACCTAGGAAAACTTCGGTGCCTTTGCCATTCTGTGAAACCACCACTCCATGCCTCCAGAAAAGTGCAAAGCTGCGTAAGTTCATTTTTCTAGTTTGGTGGCACAAAATTGTTATCGCACCCAGCGTTGGCTCAACCACGAAATCAAGGCGGTTTTGCATTCCCCGACGTTTCCGTCAAGGCTTCCATCTTGTGCTTTCTACTTTATTGCGAATAGAAAGCAATGGTGGTACGCCCGCTCAGAAACTGGCTCGCTACAATCTGGGACCATCACTACGTGTCTTTCTGCCAGCTAGCCAAATGAATCAAGGTCTCCAATCGTTTGTATTACCACCTTTCAATCGAGCCCTTCTGGCATTTCACCGACGTCTGGAAGCCACGTGTCCAGAGATGGAGGTGGCCGTTTCTAAAGTGGTGGACGCAATGGCCGCCTTTCTACGGACCTTGGTGCCCCCAGCATCGTCTATTATAATGAACCGCGCTTGGAAACCAATAACTGCAGCAGTGTTGCCAGAGGATCTCCGGGGTTTCGTCTGGCAGTTGGGCTGAGGTTTTCTCCCCACGCGAGATCGGTTGCAGCGGTGGCAGGTGGTTCTGACTTCAACTTGCCTCAACTGCGTCATGATAGAGACTGATCGACATGTGACGATTGAATGTGTGGTCTCCCGCCTTTTTGGTGTGCGGTCCATGCTGGTTTTCGGGGACAGGAGTTGCGAACTTTCGTGTTGAATGGCCGATTTGCGCGTGGCCGCTTCTCCGCTCATTTAGTAGCTGTGGGGCTGTTCAACTTTTGGAGAAACCAATACGAGGGAGGCCGTAGCTGAGAATTGCCACTGGCGTGCTTTGTGGCCGATACTGGAGAGAACGAGACGAGAGATCGATGCATTCTTCTCTGAGAAGCTTTTCTTCCTCGAGGAGCACGAGTTTCTGCGGCATTGGTCATGCCCTTTCGTCAAGGTTGAACACGAAAGGATACAACTCAATTTTCGACCGACGTGGTGCGGAGCTGCGCTCGTTGAGTCGTTATATATGATTTCATTTGTTACAAATCGTGCTTCATTGCATCTATTGTATTGTCATACCATTCATTATATCATGATATCGCATCGGGTTCTTGTGTACATGTATGCAAACATTTTCATGTACATTAGAGCAATGATGTCTTCCCTGCAACGTATTGATGTTGGTCGTGATACATAAATGTGATGTAGGCACATAAATGTGATGTGGGCACATAAAAGTGTATGTGCCCTATTACTAGAATGTTATAGAAGCCTTTGTGAACTGGAAATACTGTAAATATTTTTTTCTAAACACTTAATGAAGAAGAACAAGAGAGATTCTATGGCTTTGCCAGTGGTTATGCCAGTGGTTAAGTGGTTATGAATCCAGGAGACTGATTCACAACCACTTACTCATTGTGTACGCTCAAAAATAGGCCGTACACTTTCGGCTTATATTTTAAACACGGATAATTTTATAGTCGCACGTGCTCGCAAATCCGGCAGTCGACGATGTCGACGACACCCCCTCTGCGCCTGCTCGTGTCTCGTGTCAACTGCCCCCCCCCCCCCCTCTCGGCTCGCAAGGCCTACGTAGGCAGCGTCTGCTAGTAAAAACCGACTACTCGCACTTCACAACCGTTCACTGGCCACCCTGTATGTATAGGTACTGGATCTCTCGTTCGGAATTCAGTCGAGCGTTTATACCAGGCTTACTCTTGACTTGATGTTTTGCTTGAATTGAGTAGATGCGATGGAAGCAACACTACCTTCAATCAGTAGTGGGGCACACAAAACATCAGCATTCCACCAGTCGTTGAAGGCAACGCTTCTCGTTTTTTTCAAAAAAAAAGTAATAATAAAGACGAAATAATAATCAAGCTTTACCGAACCTTATCCAATTAGGCAAAATTTACGCGTTACCCCCTCCACTCTGTCACGCATTTACTCAAATTACCCCGTAGGAAGATGCGGGGGGCTTTTTTATTCATCTCTGCAATACTTTATTTTCGTCATCTTACGAACGCTCCCAGTACATAGGAATGTCTTTTGTATCCTTTCTCGATACGATTTAACTTTCATGCTGTCTTTTAAAGGGCCACTCACCAGGTTTCACAATTTGAGCTGACAAGCGCAATGCGTAGACGAGGCGTTCATGATCACGTCTGCCAAAATTTGCAACGCTACGCACCGCGGATTGGGGTCAAATTTCAAGGTGAACGCTGCTCCCCCTCTCCTCTGCCGGCGTGCGCCCAGAGAATGAGGGCATGACGTGGGCGTATGAATGGCCCTACGTACACGGCAATGCAATGACGTTGGTCCTCTACGTAGACGACTCTGCTCTGACGTTGTCAACAGTATACCACGTGACATGGCAAAAATGGTTTAACACAACACGCGTAGTTTATGTATTTGTTGCTTTAAGAGAATAATAAAACTTGAAATAAATAATGAGAGGAGATAAAAAATTGTGCGCGTTTTTCTTTCATTTTTTCCCTTGAAATGCTACGAGATGCGGGGCTAATGTGCCAGCGTTTCGCATGCGTTCGTGTCCCCGTGGTCAGCGCATTGAGCAGACGGCCGCCGCGGAACGCTCCTACGCGTTCGCGCACTCATTGTGCTCATCTATTCAACCACGTCTAAGCCACCGTTTCCAAACCATTCCGCAGAAACAGGCAGAAGACCACAAAGTAACGCTGGTCAACAAAACAACGCTGCTCGCGTACTCGGGGGCTGGACTTGTTCGGCACGTCATGCGCACGTCACCTCTTGGTCGGATGCCGGAGAGGGTGCGGAAGAGATTTGGCTTGCGAAGGCAATGACTTCGAGCTCGCCTCCTTTCATCCTCGTTTCGCGCCGCTTCAAAAAACCTGCCTTCTCCGCTCGTGATGATCCGATTCGAAAAATTTTTGTGCCAAAATGTTCCTCATCGGACACCTAACAACTTACACTTTCTAACTAAAATGCGGTATGGCGCCTGGTGAGTGGCCCTTTATGCCGGTCTCATGTACCCAACAATACACGCCTGCAAACCTGCAAGGAAGCGCAGTATTCATTATTTAGTTTGATTTATTTATATATTTTTTACACGGTGGCTAATCATTTAGGATATTGGGAAGCTACGGAAGAGACACTGACATGTTGCACATTGTCGTTCCTAAAACTTGTGTCATGCGTAACATTCTATCAGGATATAAGCTTGCTTTTTTGTTTTACCTAGACAACTACTTTTATTATCTACGAGGTAAAAGTACCATCTTGCTTAGTACACCTGATATACACCGTATATCTAACCGGACTGTTTATTCTTGCGTCCTTATGATAGTCCCGTCTTTCTTTCGCGGACGACTGTCTTCACAACTCCCTGGTCGTTACATTACTGACATCGGTTTTTAACCCTTTATAGTTCATCTCATTTTTAAATCATTCAGCGCACAAAACTGAGCAACAACTATGACAAGTAGCCTACTGTTATTAAGAATGGACATGTCTAAAACATGAGGTCTTCAAAGAACAGAAGGGTAGCATTTAGGGAGAAGCCCGTATTCTGTTAAAGTTCTAGCCGATGTGAACCAATCACTAGGAAACAATTATGATCTGGAAATTCAGCGGAAATAGTTTATCACTGCCAACTTTTTTCCCGACTAGTACGCAGTCAGAAATATTATATGGGCATTCGTGTCTTTATCATTCAGAGTACAGGTCACACCAGCCAAGTACATCAAGAGTAATTCGAACACAGATTATGTGCCCCATTCTTTTTGCATACAGCATAAAAATCTTCAAAGATAATTCGTACCGATAAATGCTTTTCTATAGTGCAACCAAAGTTTGTTGTGCCTCATCAAACATAAAAAGGTACCATGGGCATGGTTGGCGGCTACGGCTGCGCTGGAAACATGAAAGATGCAAAATGTTCTTTAATCAATAAGTCACTCCATGACGATGTCATTATCGTGAAGTCACAGGTCGTTCAATTGTCTCGTCAATAAGGCGTTGCTATAAACTCCAATAATATAATGCTGTTAGGTCACGTAGTCACGTCACGTGGTTAGGGGAGAGGTAATTGATGCAATGAGTAGAAAAAAAAAGAAGTGGGTGGCTTTCACCTTTGGGTCATCGCGTATGAATGCACAACGGAGCTCGTGATTTTTTTGTTTTTCGCTTTCCAGAGACCGTTTGAGCGGATGGTTTCGACTATGACACAGCTTCATGTGTGTCCCATTATACCATAAACTCTTTTGAACTAGTGTGCAGCTCAGTATTACTCTGGTATTGCAGTTCCCAATATGTGAAAGCTAGGGAAGAAGAAGAGGAAGGAGATGGCTGGTGAAAACGTTAGTTGGTGTTGCTCACCAGCCAACTTAATCCTCTTCTTCTGTTCTCACTTCAACACAGTGGTAACTGCGACGCCGCAACACCTTTACCCGAGAGAACACACCAGTTGATGGCTTGCACTTTGCGTTTGCAGCGATCCGGACGGCGAGTGGCGTTCAAATCGTGCGGTTATCAGTGCCCACGTGGGTGGAGAACGGCACCGAGGACTCAGTGCTATTGGACTGCGAGTATGCGTACACGGAGCGAGACGACTCGCAGCTGGTGGTCAAGTGGTTCCTCAACGACGACCCGAAGCCCATCTACCAGTGGATACCTGAGCTGGAGACGCGCCACGTCTCGCAGAGGCTCAAGGGGCGCCTCAATACAGACTTCACGGTCACCGCCAATCACTTCACCAAATTCCGCGCCCTCAACCTCTTGCGCCCCACTACCGAGCTGAGTGGCCGGTACTCGTGTCACGTGACTTCCCACAGTAGCCAGGACCAAAAGTCTCAACTCATGACCGTCTATGGTGAGTTTCGGTGTGTGTTGCTTTTGAGCTAGGGTGCTTCTGACTTGTTGATGGCACTAGCGTCAGTGAGCTTGTTCGTCTTTGTACATGCATGAATAATTGAGTATGCTTCTCTCCAAACATAGATATATCACAATTTGCCTCAATAGCTAAGCAATGAGTGTCATAGCAAAAATTAGAACGTTATTAAAAGTAAAGCCTGCAAAACACTGCTTCATGATCCAGTCTGTAGTTACTCAAAGAAGTTCTGGCATAAGAAAACGCCGCTGCTGCAGAAAAAGAATCAGACTCTTTGCTGCCTTTAGATTCCACTCAGCGTAAGTAATGAGAAAACAGTACGTACCAAATCACGAGCCATCATCTGATTCCCGTGAAGGTAGGGCTCACGTGATGGCTTGGCGTACGCAGTTTCCGCGGAATCAACGCACCTCCACTTCCGGAATACACCATCGTCCTTTCGCACAATTTGTATTGTACGATGCTCGCCAAGGCTGAAAAGTATGAAAAATTGTCAGAAAACCTTACCAAACCAAAGCGGACAATATGATGGTTTTTTTATAGGAAAAAGCGTGTTCTAATGAACATTTTGATTTCCGTGAACATTACATCGTCCTGTCCTGGCCCACCGAAGGTACTCGCATACTTACAACAGTAGCTAGCCCTTAGTAATGCCCAGTTGCATTGCCTGATTGATGGCTGATGTCCCTAGAATTAATATTATTGTTCGGCGTCAGCTGATGCTAGCTCGTATTAGACAATGCAAGATAGCGATGATTAAATATCGCTAAACGTTCGCTAGTGTGGGATGGTGCAGGCCAACTAATAGCTGGTGTCCTTTATTTCTCTAATGTCGCCGAGCATGAACTATCCACTATAGTATTGACATTTCGATCAATAAATACTATAATCCGGGAAGCTGCTTGGTACCTTGCCTGGTATTAGGTTGTGGTCACGGTATACGGCCATTGTTATAGTCAAAACATATGAGAGGCACAAAAAAGGTTTTTTACAATACACTTCAACGTAGAGACAGACTGATTATAAGACATGAAATTGCTGTTTCGAGTGAAAATAACCTTTTTAGAAGAGTATTCATCAGTTATTATCTACTTAAATATGCATAGATTTTGAGGTTTAAAAAAACTTGTAACACAAAGGCACTCGTGGAACATTGTAGGTCCCCAGAAATTACCACTATTATAATATTATCGTCCCGCCGTTGAAATGGTGGGTCATTGGATTCATTTTTGAGGCATAGCCTTCCTTCCATCAATATTTTATTAACCCTTGAATTGCCCAAGACCATTGAAGACGAAATGTATTTAAATTTCCATACGCACTTAAAATCACTCTATTACCATCATACGTGGCAACGCCCAGGTAACGACGGTTTTTCATTGATTCGGTATCCAGAGCTTCGCCCACTATTGATGATTGACTTTGTGTTGATGCGTGGATATTTTTTTTAATCATTGTTCTCACATTTATGTGTAAACTGGTTTTTTTTTTAGTTCAATATGCCTCATTTTTTTTCACCTTCTCCAACAGCACGTCCAAAGCACTTTGTGTTCAACTACTCACGAGCCGCCGAGGAGTCGGCGACGACGTTTGTGTGCGAGGCGACGGGCGCATTTCCTCTGCCCACGCTGTCGCTGTACCAGCTGGACGAAGGTTCGTCCGCATCTCTTCCTCGTCGCCACGCCCTCGCACCTACGCAGCGGGTGACGCCCAGGCAGGACGGGTCCTACGTCACTCGCGTCTCCAGCCAGGTGCCCGACGAGCAATTCTCGCGATCCGGCCGGCACTTGTTCGTGTGCCTGCTCTCCATACCGGGCACGGACTTCAAAAAGCAGCGCCTCATCGAGTTCTACCCAGGTTAGCCCTCCAGTACAGCTCGACAAACTCATGAGCGGACTCTCTTTCACTCAACCATTAGTTAGGGAGAGAGTTGTTTGATTTGTGACGAAAATAAGTGAGCCCAACTGGTTAGAATTTCGTGAAGACTCAGATAGTACCACTGAAAAAGGTTCTGAACTAACTTACATGTGCGAAATTTTCATGAGCCTAATTTTGAGTGGACAAAAGCTGAATATAAGAGTTTTTTGAAATATTAGGGCACAATTATCTTGATACTTTTCCATAAGACCTAAAAAAGATGAGTCTTATCAGCATTACTTTTACACACAGTGCAACCTGCAATCACGAAGCTTTCTCGCTCTTTTCAGACGCGACCCTCGATAATGCATGGACAGCCTGGGAACAATTCACGAATGTTGTGGGCTCCCCTAAAAAGCAGACGATGCAGTGAGAAAAGTTTTGCCTCAAGTCTGGCAGATGTACGCAGCGATAACCACAATTATCACTCTTAACGCTATGCTTGCGCAGAAAAGAACAACATAAAAATGCTTCTCACATAGGCAATCACGATGGTTCATCACCACCATCCTTGGCCCGGAAAACGCACCGCAGCTACTCCTCCCACTACATATAAGAATGCCAGTGTGAAACAACACCTGCGCCTCGACGGTGCACGTAGAGCACTGCACGCCATGTTCCCTGTTCCTTTCTTTCCCTTGGGGATCTCGCACGGCTGTTGCAGACAAGAGATTCTGGGAAAGAATGGAGGCTGTGTGGTCTTGAACCACAAAAGGGGTTGAGCTAAGCGCGTCGGTGCGCAAGAGTGCAGGGGGGCCATTTTCGATATAACTCCTTGAAGCCACCTCAATTAATTAGAACCTTGATGACACGCCCTCCTAGGAGCGCCTTATCATCCACCGACACGTTTGAGGGGGCTCGAATTCCAGTTGGGGGGGGGGGGGCTTGGCGACATGACGACAGAGCTACGCAAGCGCCACGTATTATTGTACACACACACGCGCACACAAAGACGCCTTGAGACGTAAACTTATGCGCAGTCTCGTTCACCGTGTATACCCAGTCGGCCGAAGCATCCCGCTCGCTTCCTCCCGTTCGTACTAAGGGCTTTCGGGAGGAACGGGGGGAGTGCCGGCGGCAAACACGATTAACGCGAAGATTCATGCACCCTGTCATGTGCGCTGCAGTCTACGGCTGCAAGTTCCTCACGGAGCCCAGGGGGAAGGGTTGCACCCAGAACAGGAAGAACAGGGGAGCCCAGAAGTGTTTGAAGAACATAGCGCTTCCCACAAAAAAGATAAACAAGACAACTTCGAAAACATCTAGAAGTGTAAGACAGCGAGCAAGAAACTAGAACGAAGGCGTTGAAATGAAGTAGAAGAGTCGCGCTTCCTCCTTAATTTCGGGGCGTGTTCAGCCCCTTTCTCGCTTGGGCAGCGCCGAAAAAGACCATTACGGACGCACCGGGGGAATGATTTAAGAAGAGAGAGAGAAATAGAAAGAGAGAGTAAAGTGAAGACGGCGAAACATTTGGTTGCATCGTGTCCGTCCCACGGACGAGCCTGGCCGGACAATGCGATTCGCGATTTACGTCCTCACTGCGACGACGGGCTGTTCTCACCGCTACTAATTGCCGAGAGATTCGGCAATTGGGCGCTCGGGGAGCTGTGTACCGCAGTGGGCCTGCCTTGAAAATGGCGGGCTCTTTTCTCCTCCCCATTTCGTTTCCCCACCCCACACCACAACCCTTCTGCTGGCCAGGCGAGGAATGCACGTGAGTGAACAAGAATTAAGCAGGCGCATGAGAAATGAAAAAAAGAAAAAGAACCACGCACGAGACAAATGAGGCGGAATGCTCTGCCACGCGCCACGGTTGTGGGCCTTAATCGGCGTTGTTACGGTCGCTGGTGCTCTGGCATGCCTCGCTAATGGTGGTGCGTGGTGCGTCGTCTTGCTGGAATGAAAAACCGCTCGTGGTTGAGAAGTGGGAACTCCTACATTGTATCGACCGTTAGCATCCCTCGCACTAATGATGCAATGGTGCAGCTCACGTAATTATTCTTTGGTTTAAGTGATTTGCTTCCTGCTCATTTAGTGTGGAACGGCCTTACTAGCGGGCACGATTACTCAGTCGAAATGGCATCTTCCTCAGTTCATATAACGTTCTGCCGTGCAACTGCAGCCATTTTGACGTGCAAAGCGCAGCCATTGGCGAAGAACAGATTGTAACAAAATCCATGTTTGCAAAGTACAGTGACACTTTCTGATGAGCTGCCTTAATGAATGACTGAGCTATATCAAGCTGTAAGTTTTCGGAGTATAGTAAAAGAGCCTGTATCAAATAAAAAATAGAAATTACGCCATGCTTCAACTATTAGGCTACCTTTTTTAATTGCAATATTGGTGGCATGACGCATTTAACTGCAATCATATCATTTCAAGGCGCTGTCATATCATGTCATAATGCCATCAGGAATGTCCACAATCTTTCACTTCATCATATCTTAATACGACGTCACTTTATTCTTTGTGACTTTAGCGTAGCATTCCTGCTGACGCACAAAACGCTCAATCTTAGTTTTTTTAATATCTTAGACATAAAAAATTTTGCTTTCACATATAAGGCGTTAATGTGGCATCGCAATAGTCTTTTAGTATGACAGTGGGAACAATGAAGCTCTTGCCTCAAGCGAACAAAAAAATGGCAGCATATCCACGGAGTGAATGATGGAGAGTGGGGTGAAGCATTCGTCCGTCCATTCGTTCTTGCTTCCGTCCGTTCAAGCGTCCGTCTGTGTGACCTTCCGTGCGTCAATTCGCCCGTCCGTGCGTGCGTCTGTTCGTGCGTCCGCACGTCCATCTGTGCGTCCGTCCCTGCGTTCGTCCATGCATTCGCCCCTGCGTCCGTCCATGCGTCGATCCGTCGGTGCAGCCATCCGTGAGTCCGTCCATGCATCTGTCTGTGTGTCCGTTCGTCCATCTATTCAACACTCCAAGTACCACCATCACGCATCTTTTCATCATATATTCCGCATATGCGCTGCCATCCAGCAGAAATTCGAAGGACTAAACGAGAGGTGGCACACGCACACTTTCTTACGGCTTGCGCTTCGTGTCTACTTCCCACCTTTAATCGCCTCGAGTTCATGGTATATACTAGTTCACTGTATTCATGGCACTGCGGCCCAACGCTCACTAAATGTTGCTAAAATCAAGGAGGTTATGCCCAGCGAGTATAATGTAGCAACCTTTCTTATCAGATAGTGCTCTACGTACATGCCAATGGCTACTAAGGGGTATTGAGAGACAGGAGAATTCGGCTTTTAGTTAACGAGCACGCTGCGAATTTTTTATTGTTCAACAACGCACAGAAGAAATCTCTTACCGGCACCACCTTGGAGGTCCAAATGTAAAACTGGTTACACACTTCGACTACTACTACGACTACGAGGGACGAACGGGTGCCGCTATAAGGAGCTTCACACCTAAAGCGAAAGCTTGAAATGTTCCCTTTCTTGGCATGGACACGACACATTATGAAATTCTGGCAGATTAATTATTTATTGGCAGCTTTCAGAGCTTCAAACAAAACTCAGGGTCTTCAATCTTAAAGAAAAAAAGAGACCGATGATTTAGATTCACGTATAAGTTCACGCGCATACGGGTTACAGACTGGTGCGATGCAGTGGAAGGTGAACATCGCTTCTTTCCATTGGATCAATTTTGTAGCCGTCTTCTGAAATATTTACCGCACTCCGGAAAAAAGTTATAGGCCGAGACATGGCGTGCGCTGTGAAGCTGGTTGAACTGCCGTTCGCATTAAACGGGAACCACGCGATTCTCGGCCGTGCACGGATCACCGAGGCCGAAAAACCCCACGAAGGCAACATCCTAGTGGAATAGCTTTTCAGTGCATTACGGGTAATGACGGTGGCGAAGAGCGTGCCAGGCGTAAGCGCTTGCCCCTGGGCCTTACGGCAAACGATCGTCGGCGTCGAGCCGCTCTCGTTTCCGTGGGTGCGCCATGGTTCGGACCCAGTATTTTTAGTGCCTCACCGTAAAAGGCCGTAATTTCTGCTCGTGAATTATGGATGAAGGGGCGCCAGCACCTAACAAAAGACAGACGCACAAATGGAGGTCGCTCGTGCCAATAAAACAAACCCGTGGATGCGTTTCGTTATCGTAGCTTTTTCAACTACTGCCAAAGTCTCGATACTGCCATTTTGTTCATAGACTTTTTTTTACTCAAGTTCATTAGTTCTCTAGATTGATTGGTGACGTTATAGTGGGCGTAACAGTTGAATGCGCCTTTCAACGCCGGAATGTTTTAGTTTTGGCTCACGTCGAATAACTGTTGCTTGGGTATTTGTTATATCTGTCAGCTACGTCAGCTCAATCGTCTGTCCTCACGAGAAATTAAAAAAATGCTATGTAAATGTGAGTCCCGCATTCATGGTGTTAGGAAAATTAGCTCTCATGCTAGGTAATACTTGGTTTTTAAGCTAAGTAAACGGAGTTAGGGATTCGTCACTCCGTCATTCTGTGCTTCCTTTATAATTTACTTTCATGTTTTTCCAGTATGGCATGATTTGAAAAAAAAAAAAGTTTTGTTCCATTTGGAGGATGTGACGCAACATTTGTTCACATAAAATAGTGTTATTGCAAAAAGCGTTGTTTTTGGAACTCCCAGGAAAAATTCTCTCACAAAGCCATATAAGTCATATGGTCAATGTCGTTTATGCTGTTCCTGATTGGCTGAATGCTGGCTCCGAGCCTGCGTTTGCTGTCGTAAATCTCTCACGCAATTTAAACAGTCTCGTCTAGTGAGCCTGTCGTCGCACAAAATAGTTCAGAAAATTATTTTGTCAATTAAAATCTTAGATGTTCGCCTCAGAAGAGTGAAAGAGAATCGTGCAAAGTGTTGAAGTGCACCAGGTGCCCCTGTATATTTATGAGGCACTTTCACAGACTCTTTCTCGGTTAAATTGCGAAATTCTACGAGAATATATGTTGTTACATTTAAAGATGAGCATTTCTGCAAGCAAAGTAATCATTGCTTCTTAGATGACGGACAACTGAAAACTATTTTCACGCTACGTGCCTTAGAGGCAACATTTGGTTGCTCATACGCTAAACTTTTTCAGGTTTTTTAAGACGTACCAGTTCATGTCTCTGAAACGCTGAGTTTAAGTACTAAGCATAATTTTTATTGAAGCCATGTTCATGGATATTTTTCTTCGTTTTCTCCTCTCGCAGAATACTACATCGACAGCGCCGATTGCCGAGGGATGAGTTGGCCTGTCGCCCTCGCTATGCTTTCAGTTGCCTGGACTTTACGATAATGTCCACCAGGGTCCAGCCACGAGGTAATCAAGTCCTTGCTAGTTATAGTGCTGTGAATAAAAACACGTGTATTTTTTAAAGAACTAATAAACTTTCTTAAGGCGATAACATGCATTCCAAGCATCTCGAACATATAGTGAACTCAGAGCTTGCGTTCGTACACTGTGCGAAATCTAGTTTATGTATATCAAGTCCAAAAAAAAAGCTTTCATTCGAGAAAGGTATCTCATAGTAACACTCGAACGGACAATGAGAAGCCTTATTTTACGGCTGCTCCCAATGATCATTCATTTCTAATAAATTTATTTTGTTCAAAAGCGCCAACTGTTGAACCAGTCGGTACATCATTCTGAAATCGAGAAGGGAGGTAAACCATAGTAAAGGTTGTAATAATATGATGGTCGCCAAACACACAGACTATGAGACAAGTCATTGATCCTAGCGTGATCTGATAATGCACTGACAAAGAAAGAACTGGGCCTTCCTGCAGTCGATTTGGGTGTCAAAAACTTCACAGTGCATTGATATATATTGTCTCTATACTTGTGACAATGCCCTTTGATCTTTGGAACCTCTTCAAAAAACTTCTTTTGTAAGTGAGCGTTTATCGTGCCGACAGCATATCTGCCTATACAATGCAATGTTTAAATTTCGTGAAAGAATTTCGCAATTATTGAGCCTATTCTGCCAGTTTTCAGCTTTTTTACGACAAAACACTGCTAATGGTGGTTCAATGTCGGATTCTTTCATTTATCACTTTCAGCTTCCCGTGATCTGTTGAGACCAAGTCCTCTGCGTTCGGAAAAAGTTACTCGCCCAGATTGAATGAAGAGAATCATTGTTCATTCATATCGCGCCAAACCGAACGGTAGTATGAGGGCGTTTGGGAAGAACCGAAGCAGCGTTAGAGGCGCCGCTACCTGCAGCATTGACTGCTGAGGGACACGACAGCCAATATTGCTGGAAGAGGAGAGAGAGAGAGGTGGAAAGAGACTGCTTCTAACAGAAGAAAGAACAATGCACACCATGTTATTTGTGTTTATCTTCTCGCCCCTGTACTTCTACGAAGTGTTTCCGCAGAATATAAGCTAAGAGCATAACAACGTGGCTCTGTAAATATTATAGCGCCTTGTTAAAGCGATAAAAAGGTAAGTTATGCAGAAACGAAAATAAAAATATCCTATTTATTATGACTTGCTTTCTTCTTCTTTTCAAATAGTTACCTTGTTTAACTGTTACAAAAATGGTTTTTATAGGTGGAGACAAGGTTATCACAATGCTTCAAAACATTGCCACATCAGCTAATTAAAAAAACAGCACAGGACAGCACAGTTATAGAGAGGAAGAGATAAATTAGTGATGTCTTAATCACCATCAATGTTTTTTTAATAACACGTGCAAGAAGTATGCATAAATATGCAAAAAGTATGTATTTCACATGAATAGTTTTAACAAAAAAATGTCCTGTTCTTTACTTCGTTAGAGACAACCCCAGCGAGAGAATGTTGTGTGTTATATCTCAACTACAGAAACGTTTCTTTCCCGATCGTTATGATTACGCATAATCACTGCCCTTCAAATAAAACAGCCAATATTTACACTTTTGCTTTTCTTGGCTTCATCATCTCCGGGTTTCATAAAATACTCTTATTTCTCGTGATCTCCCTTATAAATGAGGAAACAACACCTTCATCCTGTAACTTTAGGCACAGATTATTTTTGATCATTGATATATTAGGCGAAGCCGCCTACTCCTAGCTGCGAATTAAGAATAAGTGAATACAATGTATATGTGTATATTATTGTTGAAATACACAATAAGAAACTGCAAATGAAAGCGAAGTGTGGCTTAAGTACATACACACACTGGTCAGATAATGAATGCTATCGCATGTCCCAATATTCAATAGGAGAAATTAGAAGAATCTGAAAAAAAGATGGGATGACAGGGGGTTAAAAAAGTGACTAAATACTGCGAAAAACTCCAAGACGTGAAAGAAATGTATTTATAAAACACGAGTACACTACAATGAACAAGTATAGGAACGTACTCGTGTTATCTGAGAGTAACGTCAAGCAGGGAAATTTGGCTCATAGTTTCAAGGCAAATTGACATATTTTTGCTTTCATTATGGGCAGTTGTTGTATAAATGGTGATAGTAAATGTACGACCCATATAATAGCCATGCGAGTAGTAAAGGTATTACATTGATAGGTGGGGTTTAACGTCCCAAAACCCCCATATGATTATGAGAGCTCCGGAAATTTCGACCACCTGGGGTTTTTTAACGTGCACCCGAATCTGAGCACACGGGTCTACAATCTTTCCGCCTCCTCCGAAAATGGTAGTAAAGGTATTACAACTAGTAGTATACTGAGGGCCAGTGGCTCTGCATAGCTGACGCTTTGCGCGAAAGAGTGATTGAGGGATCATTAAACATGTCGACATTTAAACTCAACATCAACACACAGACTAAAAAAGATGCAGACTAGCGATTCCCGCCTGGTGGTAACGATGCCCACCCATTTACGATGGCAAGTAACGAAAACGAAAGTGTACCGTACGGCATACCAACCTTCCAAAAACTTTTAAATAGAAAGCCTATCGATCATTCATTACATGGTTGAAAGTTCAGAACAGCATGGGCGTGCCTAAACAAACTTTTTTTTTCCTTTTTTTAGCACGCATTCAGCCACAGCTTAATTTTCCTCAGAATCAGTAGAAAAATTACAATAGACTGTCCCTCCTGCTTTCGCAAGTTGTACCGCCAACGCAATATGTTGCCGTAGAACATTAAGCTTTTTGTGCTACATTATTTCTTTTCTTATGGCACATTTTGCTGCAACGTACCAAAACCTCTTCCCCGTCCCATTCATTTCAGATTGGTCAGCAAGAGCTTTCCGTGAAAACGAACCGTTTAGTCCTTTCGTTAACTTCAATGTAGCATGTGTCTGTAGCACCGCACAAGCAGTTACACCCTATTCTTGAGGCGAATTTAGCGTAATTTAGCGACAGAAAAGGTTAAAAAAACAGCAACTTTCTTATTGTACATTCGTCCAGAGTACGTCTACACTCTTAGTTTTACAAGTTCGTCAGAGCCAAGTACATTATACTCAGTGCGTAGTACATGTTGGTTTACGGCTACACTGTAACAAAGTACGTACGTCCCTTCGTGAGATATACTTTCAGGAAAGCAAAGTACGCACATCGACAGAACTAGATATAAGCAACTTGATGAAGCACATACTCGGTTGGATGGTTTACTGATGGTAAGAGAGGGAGGGCACATCCAGGCATCTGGAACATGTTGTTCTGCTTGGCAGGATGACCAGTGGCACAAAAGTGCCTGAATCGTCTCCTGATCATCAGAAATGTTTTATTGCGTAGCACTCGCTATTCTATTGAGTTAACAACATGAATTGCAACACTAACTTGGTCAGAAAGTAAGAGAATGTCATAGTGATGATAAGGAGACTTATGCACGACAAGACGTATAAATGAAATTTTCGAAAGGTGTTTGCGATCAATACATTGTTTCCTAGGATTGTTGAGTCGAAGGAAGGCGTTAATTTGGCTATGCCGATGCCCCAAAATAATGCCACATCAATTAGTGGTCAAGGCAAGTGGCCGTTATTCAAACTGTGCCAAGACGAAGTATTACGTACATGTCGACGACTGCCGATGTTCAAAGCTGCCGCAGCATAATTTTATAGAGCACACATATTTCCTTCGGAAAGCACAAGATGATAAAAATCGTGATTATGGCAACATTCGAAGCATTAAAATGTGAAAAGCGGGTACTTTATTACAGTTACATGACTTTCAAACACTTACCCTGCCGATGATACAGGCGAGGCCTTTTGTCAGAGTTGTTCGCGAAATGAAGCTTGATGCCACCTTTATACCAAGCTTTGCTCTCATTATACCAACATAAGCCATTCGCCACCAACCTCTTCACCAAAAATTCAAGCCTTCGAAAGAGAATCATAGATTTTCTTCAGAGAGCACCTATTTCATCGCTCCTGCAGGCCGATGCCACACAAGATACATTAGCACTCGCTACGCTAACGCTCATCGCAAAGAGGCATAAAACACTAGCATAATGCGCCCTTAAAGAAAACAGTACTGCTAAGATAAATTCTCGACTCGCGGCACAATTTTCTTGATCCCCGACGCCATTAAGACGTCTTCGAGCGCACTACATAACGGCGTTAATATCGCACGGGAGATGAGCATCCTGGACTCTCTCTCTCTCTTTCATCTATCCCAACGTTCTTCCGTATATCTTGTAACGACCTGGGGTAAGTCATTTCAGGCTGCGTGCCATTGTTTCTTGCCATACGACGGGGTCGATAGAACCCATCCTATAGAAGCGCATAGGCAGCGACGCATCAGCCTGTGAAGGCAACCTATGCCCCGGAATATCCCTTCCTCTTCCCATCGTTTGCGAAAGGGCCTTCCGCTGTCAGCGTGGCCGCCTGGATAGAAAATGAACCGATCTTCCTGGTGAATAACCTAATCTCAAAGCTTGCCATGAGGGGAAGTTTTTACCCGGCTCTGTCGATTAGGTTTGTAGACCAGGTGCATGTTTCAGTGAGATAATAGGTAGAAAGACGTTGAGAATAATTGTAAGCAAGTAGTCGGTGGCCTATATGGAGCTATACGTTCTGTAATTCAAATCATTCGTTTGAAGCTGTAGTTTTACTTTCGCGTAGCATTCTTGGTAAACCTCTGTGACAGGGACACGGTACTAGAAGAATGCACATAAAACATACGTACAATCAAGCACAGAAGTTCACAAACCTCGCGAGTGTGCTCACAATTGTCCATGCCACCTACCAGCTGCCACGCACAGCCAGAATGAACCTTTTGTTATTCACTGGTAGTTCAGTTTTTACTGGAAGAGCAGCATATTTCTAGTTTGTCGTTTTTGCGCAAAGTGTTTGAATACGTTATGAGCACCAGACTTGTGTTATCACAGTAGATTGAATGTTATGATGGTGTGCTTGCAAAGGTGAGCCAGTGAGTGGGTAGTTATGAGGGTGTGGGAAAGATGGTGACCGATAAGAGTTATGCTGAGAGGCTGCTCTCGCGATAGAATTTCACAGCCATGGTTGCTAAGGCGAACGCTATGTTACATAGTGTAAAAGCAATATGTCTGTGCGCGGCGAAAACATTCTCAGGCCATTGATTTACCGTTGGATGCATCGAGGGCCTAGCACTGCTGTCAATCGCCGCTGATTCAGCGAATGTGTTACTAAGAAGCTATTATCCACGCACTCGCGTGGCCCATACGTTTTAATTCACGTCGTTCTAGTTCGTTTCCTCATTCACGATGACCCCCGTAACTATGTTGCAGATTGCCCGATTGCCCGCATTGCTATGGCAACAATTTCAGTGAATTTGCGAAACAGCATTTTTAAAGTGTAAAGGTGTTAGAATTAAAGAAATGTAGCACCACCTTATAGGTGTAAAGTCACTTGATGTTCACATTCCGCTTTATATTCTCGATAAAAAAAACTGATAATCCCGCTGGTAAAGAAAATTATTAACGATACGTTGCAACCAAAACACGTTAAATGCATGAAGGACTTGCCAGCAAGCAACTATTATTTTAAGCATCAAATTGAATTGGCTTCTTATGATTGCCCCAACTGACAGTGCTAGTGATTCTGTATGGTTAGCGAAAGCAAAGAAACGATGTGCAGAACAACAATACAAAACAAGGCCCTTCCGACGCTTTTTCCGTCGCGTATTTCTCGTCCTCCCAGAGAGACCGCCATGCTATATATTTCCGGCTGTAAATCATGGTTCTATCACAAAGGTGACACCTTCTCTCTTTCCATTGTGATCAGTGGAGCTCTAAGCTAAAAAAAATATATCGCATGCGAGAAAGCACCACCCAACTACTCGGCGCACATATGTCGTGAATGTCAGCCTCCTTCCTTTACTTCGCCCTGTCGTTGAACACGCGGGACACGTTGGTCACCGCTCTATAAGAAGACATTATTCTTCTCCAGTGACCACCACCACCGCGCTTGCAGATTACAGTGCGGTGCCGTAAGGGAAAAATTGTACGAGTTTGCGCGTGTCTGTTACAACAGCAGTGGGAAGTCCAGGGAAAAGGAAAACCTCCGAATGACAATGAAAGTCGGCAGTCTCGCATGCGGACCCCATTCGAAGGCTACAAAG